AGAGTGGGAGGATGCATTTCTTCTACCTCTAGAAGATGGCATCTCTTTTGGGTTTGAATCCCAGACTTGAGCAGTGATGGCAGTAAAACCTGTAGCTGCCACTTAGCAGAACAAAGTCACTGCTGCCCATGCCTTACTTCCTCACAGCAGTTTAGACACAAGGAGGGTTGTGCCGCCCTGCTCTAAAGACAAAGCATTTCTCATGTCTGTCAGTCCATTGAAAGCTTTCCCTTTCACACTTCTGTTAACGCTCTTATCCTGGGAAGGTTAAAGTTCATCACTTTCCCAAGAAGTTCCTACACAGACCATTCTCAGTTTCAAATTTCAGAACAATTCTTCCTTAAATGCAGCTGTTGAGCATTTGTGCCCTTGTGAAGTGGAGGGGAATGTACTCTGCCCCCTCCCCCTGCTCCCTACAGTTGGCTGTGAATGTTATCTCATGTCTGCAACCCCCTTCCCAAAAGCCATGCGGTATCACTGCAAATCAAGCAATGGCAGTGTGTATGTAACATGATTTGTCCTTTTGTACAAGATTTTTTATTGTGAATATTGATCTGACCACCACCCACTGCTCACTTGTTCAGAGTGAGTCTGGGACTCAGCAATCACAAATACGTAGCATGCCAGAAGGCTTGTCAGGTGATGATGTCAAAATACTCAGCAAACTCCCTGTGATGGATGGGTAAACTGAGGTGTGAGGCTTTGGAGAAGGCACCTTTGCTTCACAAAGCAAATACATTTGTCTTGGTTTATTGTTTTTTTGTTTGTTTCTTTGTTTTTAAAGGGGTTTAGCATGGGTTCTTCAAACAATCAAAGTGTATGTAATCCCCCACTCAGGAAATTTCATTTAAGTTTAGGCTAGATTTTCTTCAGCTTCCCCAGGTGTCCAGAGCCCATGAGACAGGGGCTACAACAAATGCCAGCAATTGTCTTCTGTCAAGTGAAACGGGATTTGGTTGTCAAAACCCCACTGATGCAATTATAGTTCTCTCAGTATAATATCACTTAACCTGCTGGTTACTTCTCTATGTCTGCCCATGATTTGGTCATTTAATTGAATTATCGTAGGGGCAACAAATCTGTGTTATGTTTTCAAATCTGTACAACATTGGCTCGTCTAAATCTGATAAGTAAAATTCCTTCAGATTTCACAGAACCCCCTAGGATATGTTACCTGTCCCTCTACCCCACCGCAGTTGTCTTTATACCCTCTTCATCATCCAGAAGTTATATGGAAACCCTGGGCTATAAATTGATAGTTACGTTTAAATCCCAGTTCTATTTGCCCACTGGTTTTGAAGGGTTTTGTCTTTCCCCTTAGAAATTTCAGGCATGTCAAGTCTGATTTCTCCTGATGTTGCTGAAGGATAGCTGGGAGATGTCAGTGGTTTCTATTAGAGTTTTATATCTAAAACTAGTATTCAGTCTATGCCTTGGGTCAGCACACAGTGAGACAGTAAATCTGGCTTTGGGGCCCTTGTGCCAGACAGAAATGCTGCAGCTACATGACACACAACAGTGACAGGCTGTAGATTTGCTCTTCTCTTTGCACCAAGCAGCTTTTGCCAGGTCAGGTGTCATCAGCCCTACAACAGCTGGTAGAAAGACAGGATGAACATTGTACCATGTGCAGGGGCTGATGTGATAGAAGTATGATTATCTGGCCATTCCAGAAACTGATCCAGTTGGCTCTGGGTGTGAGCCAGGAGTGCGTAAGTCTGAAGGTAACTGTGACCTTGAGCTTCTGTCATCCAAAATGTGAGTTGGCCACTGAAATCAGATAATCACTAACAAGCAGTTTGACTAAAAGTACTTTTCTGTCCCCAGTGTTAGCTTTACCTCTATCAAGGGGGCGTTTTCATTTTGTTAATAACCCAGTCATAAGCAGGACACTAAGTTCTGTTCCTCTTCCAAAATCTATCCCACACAAGTATCTTTTCCCCCACTATAGAAACCTACCAATCAGCCCCTGCAGACTCCTAGCAATTACTTTCCAGAAGCCTGTCATGGCCTTTATCTACTTCCTCAAAAAAAAAAAAAAAAAAAAGGAGGAGGCACAAAAGCCAACAGTTTAAAAGCAATGTTCTACAGGGTACTTCCTAGTAACAGAAGAGAAATGGAGCAACTCCTCAGCCATCCTTTCTCCTTTAGTCCCCCCTACAGAGAGCATGCTCAACACCACAGCTGCACTACAGAAAACACCTGTGATGGGAACTCTAGTTAATTTAGGAGGCTGGTGAGTGTTGCTGGTAGATAGCAGTGACTGACCCTAATCACACTTTTAATTTTGTTTTGTAACAGCCATCTCTGATTTACTTCTGAGGCCTTGCCACTCACTCCTGCCCATAACCCCATGCTACCAAGGAGATGTGGATCTGAGGAGTGAAGGCCAAGCTCGGGGCGCTTTCTTGCTCTCCTCGTTCACTAGCACTGGGTGAAGTTTGTGCTTGAGGTCACATGAAACACTAGTAGCTATGTAGCTGGAGAGCACCAAAGCACGGGGAGAGCAGGTAGTTTCGAGCAGCAGAGGCTGATTTTCAAGCCTTGGCAGTTTGTTCTATACTGTGCAGAGTTGTTGCTAGTCTACTGTGAAGGTTAACAGCAATCTTTCAGTGCAGCAGGCTGTGTTTATGGACTACTGATGTAGACTATCCTGGGTTCTCTAAGCCAGCTAGTACCCATGCAGCCAAGAGATTTCATAGTACCAGAGAAACAAGCATATTCTTTACCCCCAGTGCTTAGGTTAGGTGTTACTAAATGCTCAATTAAGCTACAGTCAGATATCACCTGATGCCTGGCTTATAATGAATCTATTCTTGGCATCTGTGTGTTTCCACTTCAATTGCATTCAGTAGGGAGTGAGTAAGCTGCACTATGAAGCATTCACCTAGAAAACTACTTCTGGAGAGGAGTCTCAGACCTCAAATGCACCCTTTGAAGAAGCAAGACAAGAAGGAATCCAAGGTAAGCGTTGCTGCTGTTTATTTCTCAGGTATGTGATCTGTCAGTGCTTTAGCTGAAGCATGCTGGGATTATTCTTAATACAAAATTCAATCCAGGTTCCTTAAGGAGGTGACAAACGCTCTAAAACCTCAGGCAGCTGCTGTGTTCCTGGTGTTGCTGACTGTTCTAATGTAGGATGGGTTGTGGTTTTTTTCTTTCAGCTGAGTAGTTGTAAACAATGCCAGAAGCTGTCTGTCTGTAGCAATGGACCTGCAAGCTAAGCAGGAGGTCCTTTCTTTGTGGTTAAGCCCTGACTGTGCTGGCTATCCCAGAGCTGGGGATCGGGGATCCCTGTGTTTCCAGTCTGATGCTGCTTTGTTTGACCCAGTTTTTACAACGGGCTTGCGAGCTATTAATGGCACACACAGGAGCTAAAATCTGTTTTGTGCAGAGATAGGCCTCACACTGCACTTACAGGCATTTCATAATTGTGCATGGGTGTTGTTGGTTAAATATTAATTTAAGCAGGCTTTCCAGCTTCTTAATAACAACATGGTAAAGGAGAATAACATGTATATCTGAGTCTGGTTTAAGGATGCTGCTGGTCTGGGGGCCTACTTCCAACCTGAGCATTTTTGCTCTTGCTAAAGGAAAAATAAAACAGATTGCTGCTACACTTCTTTACAGCAGTCTCATGACCTCATTGCTCAAATGCAAAATCCATTGAGGAGAGCAGCAGGTGTGAACCTTAGTCCCTTTCTTTTCTGTTGTGGTCTGTGTGGGTAATGACTCCAATCTTTCTTGTCCCTCTTAATGGAAAGAAGAAGCCTGCGGGTTTCTTATGGCCTAGTAAAATTTCTAGAGGTTACGAGTCTGAAATTGTTCAGCATGAAATATTTTGTTGTTTGTTGTGCAAGGTGAAGCCTACCCTGCAGTGCTTGGTCAGAAACAGCTCAGTAACTTTATTGCAAATTTGCTTGAATTAATTTAACTTTATGTAAAGACCAGTCATAGGCTGTAAAGGGGTAATTAGGCTCCTCCCTTACAGAGCAGCTGGCAAAAGCACGTTTTCACTGGAAACAAGTTCTAGTGTGTAAACCCATCTAGAGCACAAGCAGCGTAAGTAAAGAGGTAGTCTGCTTATCGCAAGCATGCTAGGAATTATCTTGACTAAGAGTTAACTGAACAAAGCTTTGTGTGCCACTGTTACTCTGGCTACAAGTGTTGCTTGGTACATCCTTGCCAAAAAATGGTAGTCAGGGTGGAGGTAGAGGCTTATCAGAAGTGTTCGTCAAAACAGATTTTCAACCAAAAATGTTGGATTTTAGTTTAAGAATGTCTGCCACTGGATACCGTCCGTTTCAATTTCACCTGAAAACTAAATGAATGCATCAGTTTTGTTACCAAAGTGTTACCAAGCTGGAGAGGTGACATTGTTATTAGGGCTAAACCTACATTTGACCTTCCTTCTTTTCCTCCTGCCTGGGGTGGATGACACCCAAAGTGTGGGTGTACTAAGAGGGTATAGGCATTTCTTGGTATCTTTGTTCTGTCTCTGACAAGTGCTGACACACTGATGGGCAAACTGCATAGCTATGGCTTGGTAACTACTGATCAGGCACATTCTTCAGCGTAAAGCAGAGGAATTGAATTATGGGCAAACATTGCTGCTGCTTCTTCATTTCCTGAATAGTCTGGAATTAGCATGTGGGATCCAAATGCAGCAACAGTGGGTAAACTTTGAAATATCTATAGCCTCATGCAACAGTATTAACTTGGCAGAAGAAAAGATAGGTAGAAACGAAACCAGTTCCCTGAATTAAATAGCAAAAATATGAACTGCTTTGATGGAGTAGAAACAGTAGTCGCTGTTCCAGTAGCTGCCTGTCAGCTGATGTAGACCATATGGGATGTGTAGGCAAAGATGGTCTGTAATGGGATTTCAGGGAAACCAGGACTGGGTATTGCCATCTCTTGTGTGAGACCGTCTGGGCCCCAGAGAAATGAGGAGCCTCAGTAGAGTCCGTGTCGTATATAGTTAGACGAGATGCATCTTATAGATTTGGAAGGTTTTATTCCTCTTTAATTAAGATCATCTGCCAAATAACTACCTATTCAAGTATCATTTTATTTCCATTTATTACAGTTCTCTTTGTGAAAGACTCAGTGCTCAAGAAGCAAATGGATTAAATCCCTCATACTTCAGGTTTCCTCTCACGCTGTATGTAAGGAACTGTCATAGTTGTCTGGCAGCAGCCATTTACAATGTGGTGGCCTAGTTGAAGGCTGTTGTGGACCATTTTTCTGTCACTGTTCAATTCAGATATATTCACAGAAACTTGTCATTGACATCCTCAGCCTGAATGAGCACTACTCTTCATATAATCTAGTGCCATAAATGCCAATCAAGTCCCTGCAGTACCTCTGAGCCTCTTCTAATGAGAGGTACTAAGAGCCCTTCAGCATCGATGCAGATGTGCTGCATAATAGCTTGGGGAAGTGTGGGAAGGACAAGAGTGCTATGCAAAGGACTGCAGGAAAATAAAGAGAAAGGGGCTACAGTAAGTTTTATTTGATTTCTGAATCAAGAAATTATAATAAGATAATGGAAGTGCTTCTGACCCTCACTGTGTTTCATTTGAGACAATTGAATTGAACGCTGTGGCTTTTCCTCCTGTCTATATTCCTGTTTCTTTCTGTTGTCTTAGCTAACAGTTCCGCCCTGCTACATGCCTTTTTGAGCAGCAGTTTAACATTTTCCTTGACTTAGTTCAATTTTAAGATCTGAAACCTTTACAAGCAAGGTCATTCTGGCCCTAGAATTAACGCTTTCTGCTTCAGATTAAATTGCTGATATATGTATTTAACCATATATAAAAGATGAAGAAGGAGGAGTGGTAGAAAGTATTTAATGATCTCATGATAAGTACAGTGGCGGCTGGAAACATTCCTAAATACTAGACTAGTAAGACTGATAGAGCAGTAATCTGTGAAGTACAATGAACCTGCACAAGGCAGCTGCTCTAAAGACGGTTTGTTGTAGAGCAAACACATTACAAGGAACTGGAAAGGAACCAGGGCAGGTCTGTGCCAGCTCTCCCGGAGGTACAGAGGCTGTAGATAGTCAGACTGAAAAAGCTGTGGCCAGAGGAGGAGGAGAAGAAGGAAAGGATCAGCCAAGTGAACAGCGAAGTTGGAAGGAGAATGCTTGGCACTTCTTTGCCATACTTAAAGGAGAGAGATCAGGGCAATGCAGCACTGCTGGAAGGCTGCTTTTTTTCTTTTTTTTCTTTTTTTTTTTTCATCTTTCGCCTCTTCCTTTAAACATGAAAAATCCCAGCAAAGTGTCAGAGAAACTGTCCAACCAAGACAAAAGCAGACCTTGGGCTCATCATCTGTCCTTATTTTGCTGTCCCAGAGTCCAGAGCAGAGCCATGGTTACTTCTTTGTTCTTTTTCCTTTAGTGTAGTTAAGTTCTAGGCAGGATTTTTCTCCCAGACTTACCAAGACTTGTAACACTAATGGCAGCACAGCGTGCAGATAGTGGGAAGGGCCTCTGTAAGAAACCCAAGTCCTCATCTCACTGAGGTGGAGACAGTTTTTGCAGACAATGTAGGCCAGAAGGTGCCGGGGTAGAGACGGTCAGGGTAGGAAGGAAGAAGAAAGCATGGTCAGTTGGTTATCTCCTGACTGGTAATGTAGAGGACAGTATTATGGGTTGCCCTTGGTCAGCTGCAGCAGCCATGTATGCTCTTTGTTTTCAGTAGTAGAATATTTTCAGTCTGAGGGTTGGGACTACTCTTCATCAAATCCTTTCGAGATAGGAACCGGGCACAAAGCCTCGCTGCCCGTTCCTTTCAGCTGTCCACCAGCCATCTTCGCTTTCTTCAATGACAGCTACGATGTCTCCTTCGTTGATGTCCAGTTCATCCATGTTCTGAGAGGAGACAGGGAAAAGAAAACATGGTTAGCCTGAGAGCACATGGGGACTCAAGCATGTATCTGGTGGGGTTTTGACCCTGCCTTTCTTTGAGAGTCTGTCAGTGTCATTTTGGTTGGGAATAAGCTCAAAATACCAGACAGTGAAGGATTAAGCAATTATGGAGCTGGCTATTTTCTTAAGATCCTCAGAAATTTCCCTAGCGTCCCTGTTGTCACCTCCTGAGCAGCCTGGCTGGTGCATCCTGGCAGAAGGCTGGAAGGGGTTAATGCGACTGTCCTAACCCAGCCAGCCGTGACCTTCCCTCAGTCTGCAGGGGTAGCTCGATTAAACAGTTTGAGGCTTAATTCCCAGGGGAGATAAAAAGAGTATCTGCACTAATCCAGGACTTAAATAGGTCTTTCAGTTCCCGTAATGCAGAACAGTGGTGACCAGCGGAGGAGCCGTTAAGCTGACAGGTAATCAAGCTGTGAAAGTCCCGTTAGGGAAGGCTAATGGTTTAGCAAGAATCCATGTGAATAAAAAAACATTTATAACCAGTCCTGAGGAAAATGCAGAAAGAATCTCAAGTTTCATTTTTATGGGCATGGAGCTATCTCTGGATGTGGATAAAATCGTGAAAAGCACAAGGTGGAAAGGGGAGGCAGATTATCCCACATGTCCCATGCGCAGTAGGTTTTATTTGCACCATCCTTTGAAACGTGGCTGCTGTCAGAAGTAAGGTATCAGGCAGGATGCATCAAGGACCTGAGCAGTCTAACTGTCTGGGTCCTTCAGTTCGAGTGCTCAGATTTTAGTGGAGGTGAGGGGTTTTTGTCATTTCTGCTGTTTTAGAAGGTAACTTGTACAATAGGAATGATGACGTTACCTCTCCTTCGGGCAGCTCAAAATGTAAATGTGAGAAGCATGTATTTTCCTGTTTGATACTTGATGCAGTGGTTTGCCCACTAGTGTTGTGATTTTTACTAATGCTATTAGGCCTAGAGAGGTCTGAAGCCAGTGAGAGTTTAATATCCAGGTTAAGGATGCAGGTTGCTGTTTGTAGTTGTCTTTTGGTGCATAGACATAGATCCAGTCCACTGTGATTCTGCTGCTTGCACCACTGAAGTACAGGGACACACTATAGTTTATGGGGATTTGGTCCTCTCCAGCATGGAAGGAGACCTCAGTTAAAGCCCAGTGTGTTAAACTGGAGCAGGAATCTCCAAATAATAAGTGAGATCACATGGAGAAGTGTTCTGAAATCAGCATCTGTCACACGTTCTTCTGCTGTAAAGCCACAATAGAGTTTATGTGAGGAATCTGTAGCCACCTTCCCTAGGAGAACGTTTCACAGCAAATGTAAGTTCGAAATGCTCAATACTGCTTACTTAGCCATCACCACCTGAAAATGAAAGTTTTCCTTGTCCCTTCAATTCCCTGTATCTCTAAAATGAGAGTGCAACACAACAGTGATTTAGGCAATGGTATAGCATGCTAATATGTATTCACTTGCAAAAAATGTTTGAGAGAACATAGCCTAGTGATTTGTGGCAACAACTGGCCTTTGGCCAGTGACCTTCACCAACAAGTCTCTGTGTCCCCATCTGTCAAGTGGAGTTAACACCTCCTTCACAGAATTAACACTTCCAAGACATTTGCATCAATGTCAGCTGTTTTAAATCTGGCACTGTATGAAATATTTAGTTGGAAGCCTTTACTTACCTGGGCTGTGTAGTCATAAAGTACTCTGTAGTCCTGTGATGATGTGATTCTTGCTTGCTCGTTTACAAAAATGGATGCGTAGACCCCATCTGCTTTCTCTGTTGGGGGGGAAAAAAAAGGGGGGGGGGGGGGAATGAGAAGAGAGGAAAAAAAAAAAGAAAGAAAACAAATAAAGGGTTCCATTGCTTAGAAATGCATGGGATCATATGCAAGAGTTCACAAATACAAGGGTCTCTGTTCTCTGCCTGGAGGTGTACATGTATAGAAAAGCTGCCATGAAGTGTAGGTAAAATCCTGCACAAAAACTGTGTCCCATTGATTGGATGACAATGCACCCATTCAGCTTTGTGGGAGGCCAGAAAATAGCTTTAGCTTCATCCAGGTTGGGAAAAATGTTTACCCTTCTAAAGCACAATCGCAGTAATCCCAAAAGGAAACGCTGTGATTAAACTGGTTTAAAATGTTTGCTACCAGAGGTGTAAAATTCTAGCAGATTCACATGGGGCTTTTCTTTTTCCTTTGAGATGGCTCATCAGATGTTTTCCACTAGTTTATATAGTTTCCAGGTAGCTGTTTGTCACTAACATATTTCTTTTGGAAGATGTTGTTTTAACCTAGCTTGTCATAATGAGGGAAAACTCCTGTTATTCTGGAGGAGACAGAGCTGGCCTTTCTGAAAAGCAGCACCTGGGTCTCTTCTTTCATTTTAGTGCTGGTGCTGGGACCACAGCAGCAAAATGGAACCACCAAAGCCTAGCTAGTGTCGATGCTGTTGTGTTAACACAACAATCCCCACTGAGGCTGCCCTAGTGTACTCTGCATCCCCTGGACAGTGAGAGTGCAACTACAAGCTTAGATCTGGCTGAAGGACTGCTCTGGAAATGGCTTTAGGGTGCAGGACTGAGCATGAGAGTTGGGTCTCCAGGTGAAAAGCCCCCACTGAAGTACTGGACACACAGTGCCAGCAGGATACTGCAGGACTTAAAGACGGACTCAGTGTGTGCCTAACTCCTTGAAGAGTCCTTAAATACACATCTCTGCTTGAAAGCAACATAACAAAATGGTCAAAACCAAGTGAGAAATACCATAATGCTTCTGTTTGCACATAGTCACAATCAAGAATGTTGGCTTAGTGCTGGGAAGGGGAGAGCGACGTTTCCTCCCAGCGTCTACCTGGGAACCTTCTCCCACCATGGAGGTGAGCAGAGGTCCCCCTGCGTGTGACTCCTCTGTGTGAGCAGGGTGACAGTGCTCTGCAGCACATGGGGCAGCCAGTTGCCTGTCCCTTCCCACAACAGATGCCTGGTGTAGTTATTCTGCTCTCAGGAGCACCATCAGTTCTCTGACTTCTTAGATTTTGAAACACAAGCCATGGAGCAGGCAGAAGAGCTGAATGCAGGTGCCACTTACCATTTTTGAGGCCCTTGACCAGTAAACAGTGTCCCTTCCCATCCCTAGCCTAAGGAAATTCAGAAGGAATGACTATCTTCAGCTGTGTCATCCCCGTCTGCTTCAATTCTTCAGTGCTCCAAATGGGTCTGAGCTGCTGCTTCTGGCATGTACTGGGGTTCCTTCCCCCTCAGCTGTGCCAAAGCTCGCTTTTGCTTTGAGAAGGACTGCGTGGTGAGGAGAACAGTGAGGGACTGAACAGCTCTAATCTACAGGGCCTGGCTAGAAGTGAAGGGGAAGGCAGGCTCTAACTGCATGCTCACAGCCTGATATGTCAGCCCAGGTGAAAAAGCCATCTTACCAGCCAGGGGGTTCCCAAAGCATGACGACTAGAACATGCTACGTGTGCAGCAAGGTCTGCTTGGGCTCCACGTAACATCTGAATGACAGATGGGCAACCAGCAGGGCTTTTTATGCACTTACAGGGAGACTATTTTATCAGGCCTGAGTACAAGGTGCTGCCACAGATGCTGACTGTTCACTTGGATGAAGTCGAGAGCTACTGTTAAATCCAGCATGTGATATAGCAGTGCTGTTTAGTTCTTGGTAATGTCTTCCTTCTGCAGTTGTTACACAGCTCTGCGAGGGGCTGAATGCCTCCAGGTTGTATCTGTGTGGATGCTGCTGCATGCTGAGGAAAGCGGCTGGTGCCTGGCAGGTCCAGCTGGTGCTGGGTAGTGCTGGAGGGTCTCCCCTGCCTGAGACCAAACGCAACAAGTAAGAGAGTCTGGGCTCCCTTACCGGGTGCCCAAGCAGGCAAGGCACGCCTCACAAAGTGTGGGCAGGTTTCAAAGCTGTTTTAAAGCAACTTTTTTTGTTTCCTTTAGGCAGGAATCACAGTTAAAATGTTTGTTTTAAATCAAGTCAATAACTATGTTATAAGCTGTTCCTTTCTGTGTAGTCCAAATACTATGTTTTAAATGTCCTCCGGTAAATGCCTGGCTGCAAAGATTGTGATAAGACAATCTAACTGTGAAATGAGATGAATATTTGCATTCATAAGGCATGAAGCTGATCTGTTTAAAAAACTTTAGGGACCCCCTTGCGCTTTCTAGAGGTAGCATATTCAAGCTTAGAGAAAAGTATTTTCTTAGCTGGACTGTGTTGGTCTGAGTGTACAGTTCACTCTTACTCAGAGCTTTTGAAGATCTTACGACCCTAAGAACACATGGCTGATTTGGCACTTTAAACTAGGAAAGCTGCCCAACACAAACCTGAACTAAATCAGTTTCCAGGCTACTCTTTGTATTGTCTACCAACATGTGAACATGTGCTGCACCATTTCTGCTACATATCAAAGTTTGATTTAGCAAAATGATCTTAAACAAACACAGCTGGTAAATGTACTTCCTGAGGAGGCATACCAAGAGGAGGGGCTGAAGGAGTGATGCTTTCAGCATTGTTCTTGCTGCTTCCGTGCAGTAGTCCAGAGAATCTGCAGAGCCAAGAGAAGACAATGACAAAGTGAGTGAACAGGACTGGGTAGGAGTGTTTCTTACACTTTGCAAGTCTTGGTTGTCTGATTTGACCTTCCCTCCATCTGCCGTGGTGCTGAGTGCATGTTACCTCTTCCTGTGGCGAGCTACTTTCATTTATGCTGTAGATATACTTATCTTCAGCTAAAAACATATTTATAAAAAAAAATCATAAAAATACTAAACCTGTTGAATTGTCAGCCATCATTAAATGGCGCACAAAATGCATCATGTAGTATTTTGTTGTGGATCCAAAAGCTCATGAGGCAAAACTCCGGTTGTTGCCTCACACTATTGATATGATGAGAATTTCAGTTATTCACGAGAAATGACTGTTCATTTGCAGACAGAAAAATAAAATAATTTAAAACACAAAGCTTGTATAACAAGCCTTTCTAGAAATTGCAAGTGATTTTTTTTTTTTTTAATTTATCCTAGTTGTTTTCAGTATCACAGCTGGATACTGGACAGCTACTGGAGGCAAAGTGAGAATATGGCTTAAGATTCTCAAGCACAGATAGCAATAGCATTGAGTGCTCAAGATGTATATAAAGGAGTTGATTTTTCACCTGGTGAGTGGTCAATGTTTCAGGAAAATGGACATTAAAACTCAACAGCTTCTGATAAACTGATACAAATTAAGTATCTCTAGGCTGTTCGTCCATGCAGAGCATGGTTGTATTCTAAATGGCCATACAATTGGCTTCTGTAATTACATAGGATGCAGCGTTGGAATTGATTATTATAGAAAATCTTGTTCCCACTGAAAACCATAATGTTATGTATAAACCTTATCAGCCCACTCACAAGCCTGGACCATGCTTTAAATGGGTGAACACAGCCTGCTCCTTGTCTTTGCCATGTAATAAGGCTTGTCAAAATACAAAGCTCCTCTGCTTTAAATATGATGCCATTCCCACCTTAAATTAGCCATTTTAGTATAAAATATTTAAACCAATAGCTCTATTGTGCTCTTGTGCTGATATAACTGCATTCATGTCACAGCATTTACCAGCAAAAAAATGGATAAGAAAAACAAAACAAAACAAAAATCGCCTCCCTAATCATCACAGTTATTCCACTAAGTATTTCTTGCTTTGGTCCAGATGCAGAGAGCAGTTCTTTGTTTTGCTCAGTGGGGGGGGATTGCTGGGAAAGACAGCCCTCCCCAGCCTTCGCTCCCAGCAAGATTCATGTTTGCCTTTCCTTGCACAAAGCGTTCTTGTGTTATGTGCCATCGCTCACTGGGAAAGAGGAAATAAGTGAATGCTCTCCAGCACTGGCCAGCTAATTGTTTTAGGAACATGTCCTCTTGTCTCCCCTCTCAGTAGGTCATAGTAAAAATATTCTGGCACCGGTTGTAATAGGTTTACTTCTTCTGTTGAGTTATGTTTATTGATATGTGGCTGCCTCTTGCCACAATGCAGGAAGTAATAACTTCTCCGGGCCTGTTTCCTGTCATCACACACTGCTGTGTTTCAATGGAGAAATACCAGTTATGAGAACAAAAATGTACCGCTCACCTCTTCATCATCCCACAAGACTGGGTTGGGCTGCTGTTACCTCTGTTTGGTTCTCTGCTGTAGTAGTTCTCATATCCTATTGCACCTGCAAAAGGGCAACAAAAAGCGATGTTCAATCAGGCAAAACCTATTTCACCCTACCAGCATGCAGCAGACAGTGCAGCAGTTCAGGGGCTGTTGGAGCAAAATGCAACACAACATCTATCTGCACTCGCCTGTCTCGTGTTTGGAGCAGCTCAGAGGGACTTGGGGCTTGCCAAAAGCCATTCAAGTGATTGTATGCAGATACGTCCTTGGTAAAAATTCAGGACCATATCAAGGTCCTGAATAACCATTCTGACAGTGGTGGCAAACCCTAATTTAGAACAGTTTACTCCATGACTGTTTCATCTGTTTTCTTAAAAGCCAAAGCTTTAAGGGAAGAGAGCACAGTCATTGTGAGCCCAATACAGTTGGCTACAGTGGTTTTTGTTTTTCTTCCTTAATGTATTGAGTTGGGAGTTTCTGTTGAAGCTGGGAAAGTTTTTGAATGTTTTCACCAGCAGCAATAATGAGCAATTTCCTGGTCTGTGCTTGTACTTAAGTGTCTTCCTACCTTTCATATCTCCCCCTCCACCTCCTGAGAGCTGATTTGCTGTTTACCCAGAGATGTTTTTTTTTTTCCTCTCTCCAACACAGTTACGTTACCATTCCTTCACTTCCCCCTATGGTGTTGTTAGGGTGCAATTGAGACCATTCACAAGTCTAGCTTCAAAGATGAAATAGTTACAGATTTATTTTTCATCTCATAGCTGCCAGTGCAGTTGCTTAGAGCTGGTGGCCAGACACCCTTTCTGCCTTCTCAGTGTTACAGACAAATAAATATGAGTCAAATCTGATTCAGAAGGCCTGATTAACTCACTTCTGACACCAGTTAATTAAGAAAAACATTGAGCTTGGACTTGTTGGATTAGCCAAGGCCATAAGCAGAGCAGGCACGTGCAGCTAGTGAGTGTGAAGAGTCCCTACAAGTAAAACTCTCAGAATTTAAGGAGTTTTCTGACCGTTTTAAGGTTCTGTCTCTGAACCTTCTAGACCGTCACCTGCTATCATTTCTAGCCTGTAATTTGTGTTAAGATTAGGTGGAAGAGGGGAGAGAGCAATAGGATCAAGAAACCAAGAGGTCTACCCCTACACAATGCAAAACCATGTGAGTTTTCCCCCTGCGTTTTGCAAATAATATATCAGATCAACAGCTCACCATGTGCTACAGGGCAGACCCATTAGCCAGAGCTGTGGAGATACCAGGATGTTACTTCAGAACATGTCACCTTTTGCCGCTAGAAGGTGGCAAAAAAATAAAAGCAAGAATCACTTGTTTCTTTGCCTTTCATAAAGCTCTGAAGGTTTGTTCCCACCTATTTTTTATTAGAAATGAGTCTTGACATAGCCAAGAACTGTTTGCAGAAAATTGCCTAGGCGACCGGAGAATGAGAAATCTCACACAGGAGGAAAAAAACTAGCTGAGAATTACAAATCTTTTTTCGTACAGAGGTTGCTTTACACCATTGCAAAGCACAGTTCTCCCTTCTGCCAGTGAAAATGTAGCTTTGCCTAGGTGAAAGCTCCTGTAGCAGTCAAATTTAAATCCCCTAGTGAATAGCAGTAAAATGGCATCCAATGCACCAGCATCTACATTATTAGTTTTTAAGAAAAAAAAAAACAAACAAAAAACCAAACTTCCAAATGCTAATTCTTAATTTTTATGGATATAATGACAGAAATGCTGAGTGAAAAACAGGCCTTAGATAGCTCAGTGCTGGATGAGTGACAGCAAGCATCTCTGCTGAAGAAGTTGCTAGCGTATAATTGCTGCCAGCTCTGAGCTCTGATGGAATCCAAGGGCTCTGAGCTGTTCCCATACAAGATAATGACCCCAAGGGACGGTGTTTGTACTACTGATGTTTGTACCTGTACAATCCCTAGCGTGGAAGGTTTTTATCAGTATAGAATGTTCTTATGCCAGTATAGGTTATTCCCTGCTCTGAAAGGAAATGAGCTCTGCTGAGACTCCCAAGTCCACGCTAAGGGGGGGTTCTCTTTGACATCTCGGTGTAATATTGTAGCAGATAGTGGAAGTGAAACGGTATCTGTACACGGGCTAAAAAATAAGTGACTAGAGGAGGTCTTTTCAGAATAGATAGGTATTGTCAGCTAATGAGGTGATGAAATGGGGATTTTCTGTCCTTTGACAAAGGCTGTGAATCCTTGTTTACTGCAGCACTGCAGGAAAGTGCAGGCTTTCACTCAGCCTGTGAATATCGGATATTGTTTGCTGAAGTAAGGTGTGGTTTGCATTTGGTCAGGTGAAATGTTAGGTGGCTCATTTCTGATGGCGTGTTTGGAGAACTGCTACCCCGGAGCAGCGTGTTTTCATTTTACAACTGCTGTTAGCACTACCTGTCCCACTTTCTGTTTCTGCCCAGAGGCTTTGATCACTGAAGTTGATGAAGAGGCTCATTTGCCTTGAAGAGACAGCCCATGAACTTCAAGTCATTTCTGCACGCTGGGGCAAAGCCAATTTCATTGTTTCCCCCAGTTAGGGGCTTGCCCCTATACAAACAACTTCTTGCGGGGATGAAGGAGGTTATTCCCCATCAGGCAGGTGGAACAAAATGGGATACCAGGCCTGGCTTTCTCTGTGCTACAAATAAAGAGGCACTATCTGTGTCGAGGGGACACCAGAGTGCAGTTAAATGATAATTTGGCTCTGACTTGTCACCACTGCAGGAAATTGAGGATGCTATTTTGCAAGGCAGTTTGCCACCTCCTTGGTGGTGCGAGTTCAGCTGTGCTGTGAAATAAGCATCACTGAAAAAACAAAAGCCGACCTCTCCCTTTTTTTTTTTTTGGGGGGGGGGGGAGGAGGGGAAGGGAGGTTTATTTTTAATGTGGATCATTGAGCTATCCCACTTACACCGCTTGCCGTGCAGTGGTGACAGCACAGTGAGGGGGAAGTGAGCCACAGTGGGTGGGAATGAATAGCCAGAGTGGAGAGCGAGCAGGCTCCTTCAGCTGCCTTCGCTTCCAGTGGAGAGTGCTGCACTGCCACAGCCCAAAGCTAGCGGATGACTCATCTGATGAGACCGATCGGAATAATTACCTGGAGGTTGTGTTCCCGTCATTTTGGTCTTAATGAAGTAGTCTATGTCTGACTCTACAACGCAGTTCTCCAAGCTTACCCGAACCTCTTCATACAACTACAAAACAGAAGTCAAGAATGTAATGTTAAACATTTCATGTTGAATTAGCAATTAATGATTTTCTAATAGTTTTCCCCTTAAAAGAAACTATTCTTGGTACGTGTCTGATCTGGATGGTTCTTTGGTCTGTCCCCTGTACAGCGATTTTTGTAAACACAGTTGTTGATTTGTGTTCTGAATATCCTTCTATGAGAGGAAGATAAATTAATGACAGGAACCAACCACTGAGAGTTAAAACACAGAGCTACTTGAGTGAGGAGTATGACCCACGCTTTTTAGGATGTGAGTCACAAGCCTCCAACTAGATAAAAAGTTTGAGGGGAAAAAGCAAAGCACCAACACAGTGATGTATCCTTTGTCTTCCTATTCTGAGCCCATGGCCAGATGCCTTTCTGAAAGGTGTGCCTGAGCCCAAATATACTCAGCCGAGTAGTCTGGTATTTGGAGGCATTCCCCAGCAAACTGAGGGGAGGAGGCACACTCAGCATGTGTGCCACAGGCTGCCTAAATCCAGGTGTGTATCTGTTTTGCATCTGGGCAAAAGGGAATGAGCTTGACTGAGAAGAGTTCCCCTCTCCCTGCCAGAACAGCACAACAGCCACTTTGCTGAAGACAACAAGTGCAGATAAGGCCAGCCCAGAGCTGTGCTGCTAAGGGACTCTAGCACTTCTTCCTCTGCATGTGAAGCTCCTCGGCAGGTGCCCCTACCTCATCATCCTTCACGCACTGCATAGAGAGCTGGTTGCAGTGAACCCACAGCGAGTTCCGGAGGATGGTGATGCGGTCACACTCCTGGAGCTGGAAGACCTGCAGCCGAAGAGACGTGAGGTAGCATCACAGTAATCATTCAGTTGTGTTGCAGTGACAGGGCTGGGCTCCTCTGTGCCCAGCTGGCAAACCTGCAAACCACTCTGAAGGATCTTGCATAGAGGACCTCTCTTCATCTACTAGAGGAACTACATCTACTTGCTTGTACTCAAGGGTTAAAGTGCTTGCACCAAAGTAAAGTTATGTTTTACAGACAAAAAGAAAGGGAAAAGGAATGCTGAGTGCTGCTGAGGAGTTCAGAGTCAGGGTCGTGTCTGCCCATTGCACTGAAACGATGTGAAACAGATCAGTAGAGTATTGTCATGAAAGGGTTGTATATATCTTAGGGGTGGAGCCAAAAACATCTAGCTCTGCTCTCTAAAATGCCTCTCCAAGCTTCTCCTTTGGATCTATTTGAGGCTCTCTGGGGTTGCCTTTGCAAATTTCTAAGGTTATATTCCTGGTAAAGAGAAGGCATTTTACATTTTTCTCTCTCCGTCATCTGTCTGATTCTTCTCATATTGTACAGCTGACTAGATTTGGGGAGAGTGAAAGGGAACAAAGAGGAAAAAAGTGAACTGAGATGGAGAAGAGGCAGATGAACTTTCTGTAAAAACTTAAAATAAATTCAAAAAAAAAAAAAGATATCTAAGTTATACTGTTATAAGTAGAGCATCAATTTTTGGTTTTCTATGAGGTGTGAAAAGCTCAGATGCTTCCAGCCATCTGTTTCCCCTTCCATTTGCTAGTAATTATGTCCAGAACACCATAAATGTATACAATATTCAGCAGAACATTCAGTTGGGTGAGCTGCCTGCCATTGAATATCTTATCAGATTAAAAAAAAAAAGTCAGGATTCAGGCAAGGGAGACTCAGCTGGTGCTAGGACCAGTTTCTGAGAGAAGTAGCTTTTAAAGAGAACCAGAAGGGTAGAGAAGGAGCAGTTCGATGTCCACGCAGAATAAAAAGCCTACAGACACAGCCCCTGGAGGGCTGTTGAAATAGCAGAGAGCTAGCTGGGAGTTTTCCAGGTACATGGTGTCCAGTCGGGAAATGCAGCTCAGCAAAGAGAAGTGCAGTGACTCAGGGTTGTAAAGCCCTTTGCAAATTAGGGTGTATTAGACATATCCCTCGTGCCCTGCCAGCTTGTGTAACAGACTGCTTCTGGACCAGGGATTCTCATGCCAGGGAAGATGGCACAGCCCTGTGATAAAGGTTTTCCCCTTGCTTCCACTTGCTAGGCAGGCTTTTAGGCTGCGGGTGCCTAGCGCTTAGCTACAGACCTCAGCAACCTGAGTGCTTCCAGATTCCTCCCTGCTGTGCAGTCAGAAGTTTGGGATCTTCAGCTGCCTTTTTGTACTCATTAGTACTTCAGTAGGTCTCAAGAAATCTGCCAGTTCAACCTACAAGCACTGTTTAAAGAAGGGATTAAAAATGCCTTTCCTTCATGACTGGCTGTTTGAACTAGGCGGTGGGCAGGCCAGAAGCCCTGTGGGCTATGAAGGCTTTGGCCATGTGGGAGAAATAAAGTGTTCCAGGTTGTGGGATGTTTTGCTTGTTTGTTGGCTTTTTGAGAAGGGGAGAATGTGCATCTTGGGAAAATTAAGGCTTGGCAGAATTTCCATGGAATGTCTGCGGTGCCAGCCATGGGACTTTCTAGTGCTCCCAGACAGGTAGTATATAAGAGGAAATGGAGAACAGGAAAGCTATTCTCCTGGCATTTTATTTTATGTGGGAATAAAGCCTGAAGCAAGTAAACATAGCAAAAACATAGTTTATCAGACAGACAAATGAATTTGAAGGATTGTTATGACCAAATGTGTGGCTGATTTGGATGTTAACCAGTTCCTATAAATTGTGCAAAACTTACGAACCAAATGCAAATCTCTGTGTCCATCCTCAGCACACTGGAAACAGAGACTTCTCCCCCAGCCATCACCTTTCAGTTGGAAGATTACTCCAAGGCACAGAGAAAATGCAGGTGGATATAACATGCTACGCAAAATAAAGATTCTGAGCAGCTTAGATATGTTTGCTCTCAGAATGCTACAATACATTATTTTTTAGCTTGACAAGAAAATTTTACTTTCAATCATCATTGAACATTGGGATATATATGTATATATGCATATATTTATTTATTTTATTTTTTAAAAAAAGGGAGGGGGGGAGGAGAACAAACCCTCAAACGTGTCCTGTGTTACAGTAAGAAGCTATTCTGAAAACCTCTTGAAAGACGTTACCTAAAAAGAATGTTTCCTTTGCTTCTAATGGATTGTCCTGGTTTCAGCTAGGATAGAATTAATTTTCCTCCAAGTAGCTGGTAGGGTGCTATGTTTTAGATTTAGGATGAGAAGAATGTTGCTAACACACTGATGTTTTAATTGTTGCAGAGCACTGCTTACACTAAGCCAAGGACTTTTCAGCTTCTTGCTCTGTCCTGCCAGCAGTCAGGCTGGGGATACAGCAGGAGCTGGGAGGGGACAGAGCCAGGACAGCTGACCCAAACTGGCCAAAGGGGTATTCCATACCACATGGGGTTGTGCTGAGCAATATATAGGGGTGGCTAGTCAGGGTGCTCAGGGATAGGCTGGGCATCGGTCAGTGAGTGGAGAGCAATTGCATTGTGCATCACTTGTTTTGTACACAGTATTAGTAGTAGTACTATTATAATTACTATTATTATTACTCTGTCCTAATAAGCTGTCTCTATCTCAACCCACAGGCTTCATTTTCCTGATTCTCTCCCCATCCCAGAGAGGGAGGGGGGAGGGTGAGTGAAGGGCTTTGTGGTGCTCAGCTGCCAGCAGGGTTAAAACCACAACATGGATTAACGTAATTTAAACCACAACATCGATTAATGTAATTCTTTTTGTCTCCATTTTGGAATGTATCTTTTAAGCTAAAACTGAATTTTCATATATTCCTGTTCATTTTCTACTGGAATTGCATTCTGTCACAAAGCAGTTATTCGAGAAACAGTCTTATCTTGGCTGTGATAGAGAACCATCCTTAAAGCTAGTGGGTTCTTAAGTAATGTAGTTGAAAACAGGCAAGAAAAGCTTGCAACTGGGTTGTACCAGTTCAAATACTGCTCTTCTGCAGTTGTTTCCCTCCTGTGTAGTTACTTACTTATGCTGAGCAAGCAAAGGGCACATAGGCAAGTGAGACAGCCAGCAATTATGTCTAAATCTACTTTAGGTTTTGCAGCATTCTTGCAAAGACATCTCTTACGCTGAGACTTGGTGTATAGCAAACAGCAAAACCCTTGGGACAATATCTCAAGTCTTAGACCGATAACTGTAACTAGGATAAAATAAAGAGCACACAAATATATTGCTGCAAAAGTCAATGTTTACCTCGCAGGTTTTGATATGTTCCTGCTCCCACTCTGTCCTGACCTTATCCAGCTGTTCAATGTTCTGTTTGTACACGTTCTCTGTAAACACAGACACACATAATAGAAACCCAACAGTTAGGGGGAAAAAAAAAATGATACCATCTTTCTCTTTTTTCTCCCATTAGGATTTTGCTGTGGCTTTTGCCATGTTTACTTTGTCAAACCACAGCCTTAAAGTATATCACAAGACTACATGAGCTTAAAACTGGTGGGCAGCAAGGAGATATATTTTTTTTTTTCTTTGCAACTTTATGGTAGACTAAGGATTCTGTGCATGGTTTGTAGATCATCTGTAAAGTTTACAGCAGGGACGATGCAAATGAGAGATCAAGAACCTGGGTCGTACCTAGGCACTGACTGTCCTTAGGCTCTTTCCCTGCTGGGCAGGTCAGGTAGAGCCTGTGATTTAGTGCAAGCTTCTACACGAGCAGTGAGTGACAAGTCTGATCTCATGAGCCGGCTCAGGTGTTTCTGGCCACATCCTTTTGGACACGTACAGTGTTTCTGGCTGAAGAAGGTAGTCAAGCTACCGTGCTCGTGTACAGGGAACCTGGGGCCTCTCTATCTGTTTTGGGTTGGTTTGGGGCAATTTGAGTGTCATTGTGCTTTCAAACTTGCTTAAAGAAGAGCTCTTCTTTCCTGGGTGAAGTCCTTACAGAAAGTCTTCTATAAAACCTTTAATGACAGCATGAGATTTGCATGTCCACAAGTGAAAGTAAATGTCTGTCAGGTTTGCTGTTGTTTGGAAGCTTGCCCATTAGTCTTTGGATAGGTGACTTCACGAAACCTGACTTCAAACAGGGCTAGCTTGGGTGGTTCGGGTGGTGATCTATCAAAATCAGTGTGCTGGTAGATTTTTGCTGAGAAAAAAAATAGTTCTTTGACAAATAGAGTATCACCTGCTTCATTTGCTGCATCTCTGCATTGCTTGGCTTTGTTCTGACTCTGAAACAGGAAGAGAAAGAAACACCCCAAATTAATTGCTGTGGTTTTTTGCTCCTAGCCCCATGTTTTTCTGCCTCCTCCCCTTCCCCTCATAAGGTAAAGCTCAAAGTACAAATACTTCTTGGCTGTTCTGCCTTCAGGATCATAGAATCATTTAAGTTGGAAAAGACCTCAAAGATCATCAAGTCCAACCACCTGTTCTGTTGAACATGGATTATGCAGAAGAAAGGACCAAAATTTCACAGATGTAGTTGTAAGTTACAGGCTTCAGGGGAAAACTGGCAACTTATACCAGTCCATTCAGGGATGCCTGCTATAGGAGCTCAGTGCCAGCATGACCCAGCCTGAAGCTTGTGTCTGCTGGCCAAGTTGCTGTTTTATGATGTCCAGCGTGCTTTTCTAATAGATACTTATAAGCAGGAAAAAATGGCAGTTAAAAATCTCCATCTCCCAAGCTCCTCATATAATACACATATGAAAAGAACACAGCCTTTGAAACACTTTGCGAATGCCAGTCTGTTTCCCATAACAACTCAGAAGTCTAAAAGCAAAATTCACTCTAAATTCACTCTAAGCAGGTTTTTTTTTTTTTTTTTTTTTTTTTAGTCTTCAGCTTTTAAACAAATGAAAATACAGATATTATTGACAGCTCTGTTCTCCCAGGTCTTTCTGCACAGATGGTGAAGACAGTACATTAAAGCACAGCTCTAGACATCAGTATAACACATTCTCCCTTTCTGCCCTTCAAGACAATGCTCAGGTAGGGGTTCTCATGACCATATTCCTCATCACAGCTGGTTGGAAAATGTGTAGCAGGCTGGGAACATAAGCTTCATTCTTATTTTTGTCCTGACCCAAACTGTTTGCAAGTGCTGAGCAGAATTAAACAGCCAACGTTTCTTGTGAGATGCCCCTGTGCATTTCAAATGTGCTGGCATGTGTGTGGAAATAATGGCAATGAAGCACCCTGGGATTCTTCTGCACGAAAGGAGCTGGGTCAGATTTTGATGCCATCGAGGTTGCTAAGAGCTCTGGCATAATTTCAGTAGGGCCAGGGTTTCATCCCCTCTTCATGGCTAAGCTGGAAGGTTTTGCTCATCAAAGATAAGGGAATGCTAGAAATAAAATGTCAACTTCTGATGCTGATTTTAGCCTCCATCTCCCCACTCCTTGAGATGATTTTTGATCCTTTTTGCTTACACTGCACTGATTTTATTGAGCCAAAGGGAGTTCGTTTATTTTGTTTTCTCCATCTGTTCTGCTGTGAAACGTTCCCATTAAAAGTTAGCAAATTGACAGCTACAAGTAGCAGACGATGCCATGAAGGACTGCAGTGCCTTAATTTCCAATGATTTATTTTTGAGTTTGTAAATTTACTTGGAATTAAACTAACCATAAGAAGAAAAATGTTATGAAATAGATGTGTTTTAATGTAAGATACTATGCCTACTAAATGTAAGCGACCAAAAGGCAAAACTAAACTGTGTGACATACTTCTGACTTGCTTCTTTTTTTTTTTTTATGAATAATTTTGGAGAAAAATCTCATTCAGTTTGCTTTCAGAACTCATGAAGCAATTAAATCATAGCCTGGGATAAATAAAATTAATTAGATAACTCAGTTCCTCCCCTGCCTTTTTAAAACCCCTGATCTATCACAGGACAAGATCAGGGTTACCAAGCCCTACTGAAGAAGGTGAAGGAAGGTCTCCTTGGGAAGGTGCTTCATTTTAATTTTGATTCTAATGGGTTAATTAGAAGGAAAGCAACACCTGGCACCCTGTGGAATGAGTTGTTCAACTGTGGTCTGTTGAACCTTGAAAAAGAAACCCCCAGCTTTCTCCCTTTTAGGCATCACCCCAAAGGTCTGTCATCAAAGGTACCTTTTCTGTTTGCTTCTGGTTGCCTGAAGCGCTTGTCCGTTCAAAGGACTGCTCGGCCTCATCCGCCTCCTTGCACTTCTGTTCGTACGTCTTCTTTGACTGTGTTGAAATGAAATCATATGTGAGGGTAGGGAACAGAGCTGGGTTGTTTCCAACTTGACATTCAAGGTACTTTCTCTTTTGCATGCTGGGGAAGAAATCAGTGCCCAGGCTTGGACAAAGGAGGAAACTCCCTGTGACACCATAAAGAGGTGCTTATTAAAAATAGAATGGAAAAGTCAGATTTATGCTAGCAGCATAAATCAGGCCCTCTTCTTACAGCCCTGAAATTGTTCTCTCTGTACAGCCTCAGCCAGTTCCCTGCAGAGGTGATCTCCTGCCGTGGCTGCTCCACACGGGTGTGCAGGCGGAGTGAGCAAGGTTGGTGCATCAGGCAGCTGCCTGAGCTACAGCACGGAGCCCAGGTTAGAGCACAAGCTCCCCAGGGTACGGGTGGGAACAGGCTGTCATTTCCCCAGGGTGACTTGGAGCATCGGGTGGCCGATGGGTGTCTTGCCCGCTGCTCCAAGCTGTGAGGCAGATCTGGCCCCACACAAGTAACCCCCCCAAGGGAGTACTCAGAAGCCAAGTAAATCCTTATTTGCTCCAAAAGAGCTCTCTTAGAGCTTCATTTGGTACAACAGCCATATTTAAATACAAGTTGTCAGTACCCTTCCAGCTGTAGCACCGATAGGTCTGCAACGATTTTTCCTTAGAGCCAATTGCCCCCTGGAAACCAAACCCAGCAGGCTGCAGTTCCTGTACCTGCGAGACTTCCATATGGAGAGGTTACCTTCTGTTTGTAAGACTCCCTCACTTTTTTTAAAATGCTATTTACACAGACTGGGGAATTACATTTTCTCCTATAAGTATTTTCACCTAGAAAGAGTCAAATCCTGTTTGAATTTAACTTAATTCCTTTCTGAGTGTCTGTTTTGGACTCTTCAGAGCATTTGGCAGGGAAGATTAGCTCTCTCCTCCTGGCAGGAATCACATCCTCTTTCTCTCTCTCTCACACACACACTTGTGCTCTTACACAGTTACATTCACACACACATTCTTGACTTTTCTTCACAGGGAGGTGCACGTGATACAGATTTCACCCTGTCTATGACTGGAGCTGGTTTGCACTGAGATATCAGCACAGGAGCTCCTTGCTTACCTCCATTGTTTTCTTATAGTGGGACAACTTGTTCTTTTGCATGCGCTCCATTGCAGACTCGTACTGTAAGAAACACACAGGAGTGAGCATTTCTTTCTTTGGACTTCTCCCCCTTTCTTGGAAAGTCATTGTCAGAGTCTTCCTATGAGCCACAGGCCTGTGGGGAAGATTACCTCACTCTGCTTTTATAACTGACAGGTTTCTAAGTGACACAGGGAGCATCAGTATCAGGTTACAAAAAAAAAAAAAATCCAAGGTAATTCTGCCTCAGTGGTTTCCATTAATAGCATGAGATGCAGGTCTTCATTTTCTGCCTCTTTCCCCCCCCCCCGCTTAAGGAGATTAAGCATAACACCTAGTCACAGTGCCCATCAGCTCTGCTAGCAGAGTTCATCTGCTGGCTCAAGAGCTTGATCTCGTGTCTTTGCACAACAAACCAATGTCTCACCCATGTGAGCAAGGGTACATGTCCATTTTGAACTCAAACGGTTTCTCTATAATTTATATTCAATTGCTTCTGGCAAATTTTTGCTTTCTGCAATATGATTTCCATGACATAATCTGGTCAACACTGGGAAGACAGCGCTGAATTTTCTTTTATGGCTTTAACTGTGGTGTGCCCAGCCATGTGTGACAGTGAGATATGCTCCTATTTGGCAGGGGCTGGCTCTCTTCAGTGGGACTTCTGGTCCTTTGATCTTTATATTCTGCTCAAGCAAAACTCCCTCCAGGGCCACCCAGAGGCTTGCTTGACATCAGGCTGAACAGCACAGTCCTGAAAGCAGCTACAGCAGAGCCAGCACAAACACTAAATAGTGTTTTGTGAGATCACCACAAATACTGACACCTCCTAGCATGTCTGATGTTGGCTTCCTCACAGCCAATGCTAGACAGAGAGAACAGCTTGCAATGGGGTCCTGACACTCCAAAGGAGATTTTACCTTTTCCCCAGGCCCCTATAACAGTTCCCATTTGAGTATTAAGCTTATCGTTTTCAAAAGGAGAGAGAAGCTCTCTCTTTGTGGATCCCAGTAGTGAAGTGTGGGTGTGGGAGAGGAATGCAGATGACTGAGGTGCACACTGTCTGTATTTGCATGCGTAATTTGCTTTATCGGATTGTTGTGAACTTCAGAGCTCAGTAGCAGCACAGTCAGAAGCAGAGCTGGTTTTACCCACTCTCGTATTCGGTTCTGTGCTGCTCCAAGTTCCTGTGTGTCTGGGTTGTAGATACGAGTTTTGTTGCATTGGACACTGCCCATATATATTTTCATTTGTTTGAAATTGGCAAAGGACTGCATATTTGATTTTTACTGCTCCTTAAGTCATTGTTTTCAGTGTTAAGTGACTGTCAGCTCTTTGTCTTCAAGCCTGTGGAACCAGAGGAGTAAGTGACCACTTGTCTCTGTGAAGAGCTGCTTTTTCAAGTGACTTGGAGCTGAATAAGACCCTAGAGGATGAAAAAGCCTTAAATATACTCTGATTTTTATTATATAACATCAGCTAGATGCTATTCCCAGTATCTGTAATTCAGCATGTATGCTGCATTCAGCATAACATTCATTTTATGAATTTAAAATGATTTTGTGATAATTTATGATCATAAATTATTAATTACGATCATTTATGATTTTAGATGTTTGTGTTTATTTTAGTGCATGTTAGAGATCATGCAGGATCATGCCATAGCAAGGTACTTAGTGCAGGTATAAAAAGAGGAAAGGAGGGATTAAGTTCTTATGGGGATAAGAATAGTATCTGCAGTTACACAGAGACAGTGGAAGTGACTAAAGCTTCTGTTTCCTGAGTTCAGAGAATTACTTAACTTGTAGCTGGGCTCAGAAAGTCGTTCCTCCACAGTCTAGTACATGGAGTGAACAGGACACGCTGGGCACATTTTATCATCTTTTGCACTATTCCCAGTCTATGGCTGGAGGCAGGTCATCAGTATGGCCCGCTGACCCAACATGGTTCCAAGTTTTGCTGATTCCTCACCTTTTTTCTTTGCTCCTTCTGTCTTTCTCGGAACTCCTCTATTCCTTTCAGTTCATCCCTCAGCATGACTGCCAGCTGGATGTGAGAATTTCCAACGCTTTCAATTTCTAAAGCAGATCAGAATTGATATGCAGTCAGCGGTAAGGTCTTTAAATGTAAAGTCACGTTTTTCAGGAGATATTTCTGAGATGTGGACACTGTACAATTTGCCACGAGCAAAGCAGCCTTTAAAAAAAAAAAAGTGCATGCAGAAACACAGGGAGCCTGACATTGCTGAGGATTCACACAACCTGAACAGGGCTTATTGCAGGTCCTCTCAATGCTTGCACATACATGGGCACAACAGCTTGCTGCAGAACTGGAGCACCCACTCAGAGCAGCCTTGGCAAATGCAGAGGCTGGCTGAGTTTCTTCACAGCCCCATTTACCCCAGCCATAGGTGTTGTGGGGTGAGGGAAGGAGGGAACTGATGCCCATCGTCCCCTTGGAGTCTGCCTTTCCCCCTTCTATGGCACTGGATATTCCATTTGCCTCCAGCCTTGCACAACCATCATCAGAGGTGGTTGCAAGCTGAGGATTTTCAAGGGCCAGCTAAGGTGGGCTGAATTTCAGGCCACCTGGCTGATGCTCTTGGAAGTGGCTGGTTAACATCTCTGCATTTGTCAGCTTTGGTGGCTCTGAAATGGAGCCCTGCATTTTCCAAAACTTATAGACTCACAGAATGGTTTGGGTTGGAAGGGACCTTGAAGATCACCTACTTCCACCCCCCCGCCATGGGCAGGGACACCTCCCACCAGCCCAGGCTGCCCAAAGCCCCATCCAGCCTGGCCTTAAATGCGTCCAGGGATGGGGCAGCCACAGCTTCTCTGGGCAGCCTGTGCCAGTGCCTCACTGCCCTCAGAGTAAAGAATTTCTTCCTTATATCTAATCTAAATCTACCCTTTTTTAGTTTAAAACCATTACCCCTTGTCCTGTCCATACACTCTCTGGTAGAGTCCCTCTCCAGCTTTTTGTAGGCCCCTTTTTGATACTGAAAGACCGCTGTAAGGTCTCCCTGGAGCCTGTTGAACTCCCCCACCCAAGCTCTAAGAATACCTTAATTCACCAGCTGCTTTTCTAAGGGTGTTGTTATCCCAAACACAGGTGCCAGTACCCAGGTGCAGGGTCCTATTGGCTATGGTGGTGCTCTTCCTGTGTGAAAGGTTTTAGCTCGGCCTTGGGCACAGTAAGCAAGCACACTGTTTTGATGTTAGTGGTTTGTAGAGCTGGGAACACTGCTAATGTTATGTGATTTTATCCAGGTAGGACCAGATTGAGGAACAAGTGATTTTCTGTGCCTCCAGAGATTGGATTTGATGCCCAGCTTTGGAGAAGGACTCTAATGAGTGCCCTTTCCCTCCACTCTCCCCACTATGGACAGGGACAGAAACGTTAGAAGTGTGAGGGGGAAGAGAAGGAAAAACCCCAGAGAGGGCAAGCACAATCACGTGTCTGTCTTAACCCAGGTCAGAAAGAAAGATGTAAATACTTACGTTGCTTAAGCCTCTCAAATGCTGCCTTCAGCGTGCTGTGAGACAAAAACAAGTGTGCTTTGTTAACATAGGCTTCGAAGGGTGGATTGTGAATCTAGAGGAAAAACTTTCCCTCAAACAAAAGATCCACCCAGGAAAAAAAGCTCTTAATAGTCCTGTGATAAAAATTGCCCATGCTAAGAGACACAATAGCATCAATCTGTTACCACTAGGAAACGCAATAAAATGCTCCATGAAGCAAAGAATTGCAGTGCTCCTTATGTGCACCCTCTTTTTTAATCTGTATCTGTAACTGAGCGCTAACAGACATCTCTCTGTTCTTGCATGTTGCCAACGGATGCAAGTCAACTGAGTGAAATAAAGATGGTCAAGGGAAATTGGGTTTCAGAGCGCTAGCCCGAAGGGTAGGGAGAAGCCAGCCCCGCCTTCTGTGTTGAATGCAGCACCAGCAAATTTTTCCTACTTGGTCACCCTTGAAGCCGGAGCAGCTCCGCTGTGCAGCATCTCCGTCCTGCGCTTTCCTAGCACCCCCGTGTGGTGCAGCTCGCCGTCCTTGGAAGGACACGAGGCGCTGAGAGCTGTGAGAGTGTTGCTCACAGGGGCCCCGACCATCCCAGAAGCACAACATGAATAACCCGTGCTGTAAAATGAGGCCTCAGGCTGTGATATACAGCGTGGAGGTGACCAGAAGCTGGCACTGCTCCTCCGGTGGACCCGCGCGTCGAGGAGAGCAGTCCTGCAGTGGGGAGTTGCAGGAGGATGCAAAGGGGTAATGGTAGTTCACCTGATGTCCTGTTTTTTGGTGAACCGGAGTCCTTTTAGAAAGCAGCAGAAAGACCAGTATAGAGGTGACAAGAGAGGAAAGAGCACAGTCTGTAAGGGGCCTTTTCAACTTAATCAGCTCTAGCTCCGAGTTCGCAGGCTGGAAGGACATTTGCATATACAGAAGCCAAGACAGTGGGTGTGGTGATTTTGAGGTTTTTCAGAGGCAAGGAGGGAAAGAGCTCTGGGCTCTCCAGAGTGTGCCCAGCTGCCCCAGACAGGAGGCCAGGGGAAAAGCCTCCAAAATCTCCTTGGCTGAAGCCTGGCTACTGGGAGAGCCCAGCAGAGGATGCGGATCACTCCTCAGCCATGTGTGACTGCAGATGGGGAGGGAAATCCTGCATCTCCTGGGTGTTCCAGGAGGCTTAGGAGATGTGTGAAGCGTCCTAATTGCCCTGTGTTAATTTATGTGGACATCTGTTTCCTAATCAAAGCTGGTTGTCCAAGTAGCAAGACCACATTACCAGGCAGAAGAAAAGTGCACAGAGGATGGGAAAGACTGGGACTGTCCCCAGTGATTGCTGCCCTGCAATGTGCTTCCAAATCTAGCTTCGTATCTGTCCGTGGAAATATAAGGAAAAGGCTTTCAGCCAGAAAACATGTGTATTCATCTACTTGTTGGACTCTTTCAGTATCTTCTCAAGAAAATAACTATGGTAAACTAATTTATTTTTTTTGGTGGCAGATTATCATCCTCACAATATTCAGTCATTTTGAAGGTTCAGTCACCTTTCCTTCTGTACCCTTGTTCACACAAAGTGAGTCTGGAGTGGAAACTTTGATGGAAACTCAATTTTCATAACACAATGGAAAAAAACAGGATTAATTACAGCTCATTTAATTAAAAACTTGAAATCAAAAACCAAGTTGAATATCAGTAGCTGAGTTAGCTTTTCCCCTGCTAAAAGTTCTAAAGGATTATTTTGAAAACTTAAGCTAATTTTATTCCATAAGTATATTTTTCCTTTTTTTTTTTTTTTTATTACAGACTGTCCAATGGGATGTGGGAAATATGCTAGCAACTTCGTGCTAGAAATAGGTAAATACTGACATTTTAAAAACAGAGGACACTTGCAAATTGCACGCACTGTTTTTGTGTGACATATTAATCTGTTTTTCAGAGATTTTTTCATCAATATTGGTGATTTGAATTATGGCAAGGCTGAAAAAGCTGCTGTAATGGATACTGAAAAAAAAAAATCATTATCAATACATATCCAGGACAAAAGCATTTTGCTGCTTATTTTGTTTTCCAGACATCAGAGCTACCAGAGTAGATCATGATAAGCCATACAGGAAGCTTCTCTCATTTTTGCTGGCTTTCTGTAAGGTGGTTTTGCTGGTTTTCTGGTATAATAACGCACCTGGCTATGAGCTGGGGACACCCATTTGCCCCCACATGGTCTTTAGTTGCTATTTCAGAAATAGCAACTAAGCTAAGTGGCCTTTTGCTCCTGGCATAAAAGATCTGCACAGGCAGTTCCTTAGCTGCTGGTTAGGGCAAGGCCACAGTCCCTAAGAAGACAGAAATAGATTTAAGCCATTTCCTTCCCCATTTTTATATTAACGTTCTGAAATCAGTGAATCAGATCTTTCATCCCTGTGGCACTTGGAGTAGCAACCATGTTGTTGTGCTAGCTGATGTGGGGGGGAGGACAAGTAAATCAAATCTTGACCCACAGATCCTTCAGGTATTCCTCTATGCTTTCTGGGCTGCAGGGATGTGCTGGCTGCAGCAGCAGCAATCCTACAGAAAAGTTTTTTTCTCTGCTGCTAGATGCTCAGATTATGCCAGTGAAATATATAATGTCAGCACTTTGGAGAGTTTCCTGGAAGCATCCCATGTAGCAGACGTATGTAAGGGTTTGAATTCAGTTGGGACCATTGTATATACAGTACCTATTGCCTCTTCCTTCTGTGGGGTGTGACTCTAATAAGATTGGTAAGAGTTTGATTCCAAAGCAACCGAAATGAGGATGTCTTGCTCTTAGGAACACTTCTACACGGTGCTTTATCCTCACAGTATATTGTGCTGCTTGGCATTGCGGTAGTAATTTATTTTGTTGTTGTTTGTTTTTTTTTCTCTAGCCAAATTAGAAAACCTGAGGCTGAAAATAATTCAAGGAAAACTACAGTTCCCCCTCTCTCCCCCCACCCCCCTTTTTTTTAAGTTCCTTATAGCTGGTGTTTCCATGCCCGTTCAGGAAAACTTGAACCACCCCAGCTAAGGACAAGACACCTTTGGGCATCTTTACATGCAGCCCCTTGCGGGCGTCTCAGTGAAATAGGGTTGGACACGAATTTGCTGTGCTTGTTTGTTAAGGCTCCCCCTTGGACATTTAAAGATTACATTTGTCAAAATGAATTTCAGGTGCAGACAGGATTAAACCTGAACCTGGAAAAATGGGGAACAGATAGAGCTATTTTGACAGCCATTCCGCAGCAACCTCTGGTGATTTTTGCCATCTAGTGGCTGAGATATTGGTACTGTAGTATCCTCTGACTCGAGCACAGCAGAACTGAACTGCTCTTGTAAAATATGCACTTTTCAGTGTTTGTTTTTCCAAGTGGATTGGTAGAAGGAGACTAACAGCTTTTAGAGGAACTGGGCAGCCAAGGAGAGGTGTAGAGAATGCAAGCATGTGGCAGTAAAGCTCATTATTTAGCATTTTTAGCTCTGTAGGTTTCAAAATCCTTTCCAAAGCAGACTTGTCCAAATTTACCTGGCAACCCAATCTCCCTAGGGTACTGACCGCAGGTCCCTGTGGCTCTCCTCTAAGAGGATAGGCATTTATGGAATGCATCGTTAGAGAGCTCGGTTTGATTTCTTTCTCTCAGCAGAACTTGCCTCTGTTTTCAAGGCAGGAAATGCATCCTGTATTTGAGAAGAGGGGCCTCGCTTGGCAGTGTGAGAAGTAGCGGGGAACCACCACGTCTGATCATAAATTCATTTCACTCACTGCAAAATCTTCTTATAGTCAGTCCAGGAGGGGAACTTAGCACAGGGTTTGGAACAGCATGGGTGGCAACATTTAAAACTGAACCTGTCCCAGCTGCTCTCAGCGTTTGCTTCCCCTTGTTTGGTCTCTTGGACCTTGCTTTTGCTGGGGAGCTGCGCTGTTGCTGGAGGGAAGACTGTGCTGGGCAGCCTGGTGTGACACCAGGATTGCTAGGAAATGCACTGCAGATGGGGCTCTGGTACCTTCTTCAGAGTCACCACAGGCTGAATTTTATGGCACCAGAGATGCACTCAGCAGAGCTCTCAGTGGCAGTGCTGAGGCCACTACATACCCTGGTGAATGGCTCTTTTGTAACCGTAGGCTTGCTGGCTTGGGCATTTTTTTTCAGTACTTTGCTTCCTCACTGAATTAGAGACTGATTTAATTGAGTAATTCATAGAGTCCCTCTACATCTTGTACACAGGAAAGTAAAACATAAGCTCTTCTAACCGGAAAACCACAGCTCTTTTTAAATTTTCTTTCTTTTTTATCTTTGCTTGGTGAAATAGAAGTGGAAAATAACCCCACCTTCCTCTAAAATAACCCAGTCTTCCTTTTTGCTCAGTTTACATTTTAACATCAATCCAATCTACACTGTTCTGCTCTTACTGTTTTTGGGGTTTTGTTTTGGTTTTAAACATTCTTTCTGAAGCTGGGAGAAGTCTCTGCCAGATGCAGCCTGCCTGCAGAGCGCTTTCCAGCCGTCCTGTTCACCCACTGCCTCAGAAACCCATTCACTGCCTGCCCCCTCTGAGGCCACGGTTAACATCTGTCCTTGCTCCTGCCATGTAGGATAGACCTAAGGTGGTATTACCAACACTTTTTCTGTGAAGTGTAGTGGCGGTAACAAAGTGGGGAGAAACAAGTCCAAAAGTCTCAGTCACTGTGCACCTGGGGGGTCTCTGCAGGGATGGATTTGGGGAGGGTCGAGGAGAGGGAAGTGTGGGTGTGGAGGGGGAAGTTGTGCTCTTTAACCAGGGAGATAACACCTCACTACCCAGCCTGATGCCAGGCACATAGCAGAGTATTGCACGCCAGAATCACATCTAACATCGCTTGCCAGGATGTTTTCTTCTTGTCCTCAAGCAGAAAGGCAAAACCACCCTGTGCAACTAGAAAGATTTCTGTACAGGTACCAGCTGTGGTGTGATGTTTAAACCACCTGCAGTGGAGAAAAGGCCTGAGCAGCACCTTTCTGTCTGCTGGAGCCCAGG